TATATATATATATATTGTGCTATGCGCGAAATTTAAAACGCCACAAGCTTTAGTAGAGATTGCTGCTGCTGCTGCTGCTGCTGCCCTCTCCATAATGTCCAGCATAATAATGAGGAAGATAATAAAGATGCGGCTCGTAGTGAAGTCTAAGCTGGCTGCATATTAGCTATAAAATCAGTTTGTATAATTAATATATAACTATTATTCCGCTCCATAAACAGCTCAGGCTAAACTCTCAGATTGTAGTCCTCATTGGAAAATCGTTAAGTAGATCTAAGAAGATTCCTTCATTGGAGTATACTTCCCTTCTTAGAGGATACTTCTTGCTTTATCTACTCGATCAGTATTACCTAATTTAGCTTATATTTACTATTAAGTAGATCTGTCTTGGGTATGACACAACTCCCTTCCTTGGGACATCCCTAATTGAGTCATCATTCAAATTTCTATCAAGCCTCCCTCGCAGTGTATTCCCTCGTCGCCTTTGCCTTATTAGATGCTCTCGCATTTTCGCTTCATTCGCTTATTTGCCAATTAGCGCAGCGCTAGGCACGCGCAATGTCTCTTGCACAATGCCTCGTCCTTGATTCAAAAGTGTAATCATAACAGTAACCATAAACGTAACTGTAACCGTATCCCCAGCCGTAGCCGGGCGAGAGCTTTAAAGCGCGCATTTATGTTTACACAATGCGGACAGTACATCTGGATGATGGTCGTGTCCATCAATGTCAACATATCAATGCGTCCATCAATGTCATCAATGCTACACAACGCTACACGTGCTCGCTCCTACTGCTCCATAGTGCGTGAAGGACCCCAAAGGGGGCGCTGCCATTGTGGCCGTCAACAACAACAAAAACAACAACAAGAACTACAACAAAATATAGAGAGAGCTGAAAAAACTTTGCCCAGATCCTCGGAGCACATTTACGGTCACGTACTTGGCGAATCTCTGGGAATTATATTTAACAATTCTCTCTCTCTTTCTCTCTCGCAGTGTGTTTTTGAGGTTTTGTGTGGGTCTTATATGGAATATAATAACATAATTATAGATGCAGGCAAATTACGTATTAAAGTTCTAAGCAAATTAGAGCTCTTTTAAACTTGAACGGAAAAAAATGGAAAATTGTGTAAAATTGTTAGAGAGAATTGAAATTGAATTGAAAGCATGAATGAAACTGATTTAAAGTTTAAGTTGAATTTAAATTTAAATCAATATGAATCCCCATATTCCTCATGAAATTTTTGCGTTGAACATACAAAAAGTCCAAAATTCAAAAACTATTTCCCGTAGATCCACATTGAAGTACTTTCTAAGGGATTTTCTGACTCACTTTAATTGAACATTTTTGTCCTCTATAAATTTCGTTTGCAGGACATTGACTTTGATGGGTTTCGTCGGTTTTTGGACGCGTTCCTCGACTGTGAGACGCCGCTGGATCTGGCCAAGCATCTATTCGTGTCGTTCCTTAAGCCAAATGTCACACAGGCCCAGCTGCATGGCAAGGCGCTCAATCAAATGGCGGCCATTAGCAGCACGGCCGCCTGTGCACCCGTCACGTCCCATACGAAGGGTAAGTCCACAGCTCCCCACCGTAGCTCTCGCTATCCATATCCGTACACACATACATCCATATCCATTTCCATTCCCATTCCCATGAACATGGCAAATGGCACATGCCATGCGAGCCTCGACTCGGTTCGCCTCGCCTCCACTCGACACTCTCTCCCTCGCTCTCTCTCTTTGTCTGTCTCTTTAATAATTGCAACACATTTCTCATTGGCCAACGTCGTGGCTGGGGTCTCTGTTGTAATTAGGCTCCATACCGAACATCAACAGCATCGCCGAGCTGATGCCGCAGTGCAGCATCGGTGGGGATGGCCACTCTCATGCCCATTCGCAGATCCAGGTCCAGACCCAGGCGCAGGCACGCACCAGCTTTGTGGACAAAATCCATGGCATTACGGATAAGTTACAGCACTCACTTGGTGGCCATTTGACCCACGATCCCAGCAAGACCGGTAACTATGACCACATATGTATACGTGCTTTAGGCATTCCAACTATCAAATTCGCTTCAATTTCCCCTACTTTTCTTCTTCAATTTTATCTCTGAACGAATTTAAAGTCAACTGAAAATTGAAGAGAAATTTAAGCGAAATTGAATCGAAATTTAAAGTATATCGATTTGATTTGACAATTAAATTGAAATTGAGTTAAATTTTAATTATCCGAATAGAATGTAAATGAATATTGAATAAGAATTGACCGGAAATTGAGTCAAAATGGAATTGAAATTAAACTGAATAAAATGCGTAATCGAAATTGTAATTATAAATCAATCGAAATCCGATTGAAGCTGTGATTGAAATGGAATTGCTAAAAATAATTTAAGCCTGGAAATCGAGTACAAATATTAACTAATTAACTCTTCTTCTTCTTCATCATCGTCTCCTACTTGTTAATTCCATTTGTCGCATGTGTATTTTGCTGTGTGCTTTGCAGGCAGCGTGCATCCGATGTTAACGGTTACGCCCAGCCCATTGGCCAGTGGACCGAGCATATTCCAGAGCAGCAACGCCGCCCGTCGCTCCGTGGACTCGAGCCCCTCGCACTCGCAGACGAACCACTCGCAAATGTCGCGCAATTCGTCGAAGAAGAGCAACAATTCCGTTAATTGCAAAATTGATAGTGAGTATTAATTAGATTCGAGTGGGCCAGGCTATAAAAAGGGTTGAATGTGGGTTCAACGAGGGAGGAACGTGTGAGGAACGTGGACTCCACAGGAGGGGAGGGGAAATTACTGTGGGCCCAGCCCATTTTTGGGCTGTGTTGCAGCACGAGTTTGACTTTCAATTAGGCGCGCATTGTCCGTCCGCTTGGCACGCAGTCAGCTGCAATTAACCAACTTGCCACACAGTGTGGGCGTGCCTGATGAATAGCTCCCTATGCCAACTACAGCAATGTACACAAAAGTATACGAGTTATACAAATCTATATATCGATACGACATGTACAGTGAAGCTTACATATGGAACTACTTTCAATAAGAAAAACTGTTCATATAAATCTACTTACTGAAAACAAACAATCGATAAACTTATATAGTGGAATGTGCAGTCTAGCTCGATGCGAGAGTCTTACTGTCTGATACCTCCTCTTACATATATTATTAAGCATGCTTTACTGCATGCTTTACTATATTATACTAGCATATTTCGTCATGGCAGGTTTCACTGTACACGCATATATATAAGTGCGACTTATGCGCGACATCTTGAGAATTTCTATTGCAGCTGCGAGTTGCATTTGCAACTGTCAGCATTTGCGGCTGTCACTGGCAAAACAGATTGCTTTGGCGACAGGCAGACAGGCAGACAGGCGGACAGACAGGAAGACAGACAGAGACAGATAGAGATGGACAGACGGCCAATTCAGATGCGAAATTGCATGGCATTCGCATAATAAATGAGCAGAAGAARCTCAAGTGCAAAGTGCAAATGGCATGCGGCGTGGTTTCAGCCAATTGGTGACAACTACTTAATCCCAGACACATTGGATTGCCCAATTACCTCACTGTTTTCTCTATCTCTCTTTCGCTCTCTTTCGCTCTCTTTCGCTCTCTTTCACTGTCTCTCCCTCGCATTGTCCGAAAACTTGCTAATTAGCTGCAGCTAAAAATCACTAAATCCGCTGCGTTAAGTCGCAGCGAGTGCAAAAGTTCATAAATTATACAACACCAAAAAAAAGGTAGCAAAGAGCGTAGCTGAAGAGTGAAAGGCCGCAGAAACAAGGGCCAAAAGGCAACCGGAAACGGAAACGGATATGCCGGCATAGTAAACAAGCTGTGTGCTGACATTTTGGCGATAGTCAGCTTAGTATATATCCTTTAAAGTCAAAGCGAATCTGGATAAAACGTGGCCAATCACGTTGCAGTGATCCAAGTCAAGTATACCCAATGTTAGCTATGCAAATGACAGGGTATTAAACTAAAGCAAAAGACCTTTTTGTCGAGAGTCTCATAGTGGCATCTTGTTAACGTTGTTTGATTAGTCAAGCATAGCTAATGATAAATATACAAATTACAGGGTATTAAAGGGCAGCGAAAGTAGCTTAGTAGCCAAATGTAACATACATATGAAATAGTCATATATACCCACTATAATATTTAAAATTACAGGGTCATTGAGTTTACAGTCGAGTCAGATTAAGACTAGAGGTAGCGTTTCAAGTCATTTATGACCCAAAGTATAGGGTATTAATTAATACTAGATCAAAGTTAGATTAAAGAGCCAAGCCAAAGAAACCTAAAGAAACGTAATACATATATAAAAGAAAAACCTCTTAAACGAACGAGTCAAAATGGCCATATATACCCCATACCAAATTGTTCAGACTTCAGGGTATTAAAGGTAAGCACAAGGTAGTTTAAAGGCAAAAACAAACTCTCACAGATCAAGTTGTCGTAAATCAACGCCCAATTAGAACATTTTTGCATTTTCACGAAGCGAGCAGCGGCAATGCGTAAAATTAGCACAGAGAGAAAGAGACAGAGATAGCGGCTGAGACAGAGAGAGAACAACGAGTAGGGAGACAGTCAGACGAAACGCGTAAAAGTAGGCAGCCATTTGTCTGGCTTCTGCCTGGCCTGCTTGCTCTCATTGTACTTCTCATTTTTTTTTTTTGGCATTCCTTCTGTTTCTGCTTCCCTTCTCCATTTCGGGATTCATTTCATTCATTTCGCTCCGTTTGAAATGTGCTCGAATGATTAATGAACGTAAATTTCATTTCGTATTTTTTGTGTTTTATATTTTGTTGCTGCCTTCATGCAGTTGCGGCTCTTCTTCTTTTACCGTTGCTGTTGCTGTTGCTGTCTCYTTTGTTTCGCATTCGCTTTCACGCATTTTAGCAGCAATTGTGGAGCATTTTTTGCGCTGCCTCCTTTGTCCTGGCCAAAAGGCAAATAACAAATAATGAGAGCCTGCCTACATTCCATGCTCGTTCAGTGGCGCTAAAAAAGAGTATATTGGCTTCGATCTTGCAGCTCGAGGGTAGAGATCTGAAATTTTGAAAATATTTGCTATGAGGGAACTATTAGGCCTGTGATTAATAAAAAGAAGTAACATATCAATATCAGTATTATAAAGCTTTCCTATCCTTTATGATCTTCAATCCTCTACTCTCCATCCTTTATCTTCAATCTTCCAGTTTCTGTTCTGCATCTTCCATCCTTCTTCTATCTTGTTCACCTGCTTTAGTGACATTTTGCAGTTGAATGCGTATTATGCAGTCGCTAATACCCGTTTGCAATATTCTTACTTGGTTTTTATGGGAGGCCATTGCCATTAGCATTATATATTAAGTAAGTAAAACATGAAATAGGCTTCCTTTCTCCCTATATATGTGTGCGTACGTGTGTGTGTGTGTGTGTGTGTGTGGGTGCTGTAAGCGCTAATTGGATTAGTTTTGCTTTGGTTTTGCTGGTTACGGACTGAGGCGGAGAGCAGTTTATAAGTGAACGAGATATATGCAAGGATATTGTTACCCTGTCTCTGTGTGCTCAGCAAATTACATTTATTGGACGAAATGCGTTGACATATATACAATCACACACACAGACACACATGGAGAGAAAAGTTGAGCTATGCATTCATCAAGTTGGCAACTGTTTGAGTTGCCTTTCAATTCAGTTATTGATATTGAATATGTAAATATTAACCCATATTTTTAGCCAAAAGTCTAATTTAATTTATGAGCCAACTAAGCTCAATAAGTTGATATACCTACATACACATATATATAGGGAAATGTAAACATAATTAGCTCTTAAGCCAACATAATAAGTGTGTGAAAGAGAGAGGGAGAGAGAGAGAGGAGATGATAGGCTCAACTTAATACAATAAGTTAAATGTAAGCTGAAAACTCGCAAATGGAATTTTGCTTAAGCCAATTAATAGAGCTCACATTGCCGTTAGTAATTAGAAAATTGAGAATATTATGTGAAACTCTAATCCCAAATTTGTCATTAGGAATTCTTTTTCTCTTTTTGACCTATAGCAAATCGATATAAATGTCATTAGCAACAAAGCTAAACTCAAAAATAAACTCAAATTAATGCGGGAAATACGAAACAGCTCTATGTCAGTGTGTGTTAGTATATCTGTGTGTGTGTGTGCGTCGCTGTGATGGGCAAAGTTTGGTTCATAGGTTTGTCATTAATGAGAGTTGGATGGAACATTTTTGATTGGGTTTGTTTTCAGCTGGCGTTAAATTGCAAAAATTGCCAAATGAAAAAGGAACAGAAAGAGTCTAGCCTCTATCTCTCTTTCTTTCTCATTCTCTCTGTCTCCCTATCTCTCGCCATCTCTCGAGTTGATTAAAAGCAAAAATGTCAAAGTTGAGCAGCTCTTGGCTCAAATTGCGGCAATCAACATTAAACATAATGAGTGTCAAAGTGAAAGGCAAACTTTCAACTCTGCCCAGCTGTCAATGGCAACTGCAACGATATCCTGTTTATCCTGCAATAATGCCCAGCAACAACAACAACAACAACAACAGCAATAGCCAAGCGACTGCCACTCTGTCAATGACAAATGCAATTGCAGCAACAGCAAAGATTTTCTGTAATTTCCTTCCTTTGAGAATTGCTTAATACACTACAAGAACTTGGAGCTCATAATAGTTTCAATAATCAAATTAAGATTAAACGTTGAGATTTGAGTTTTATTGAAAGCTTTAATTCTATACAGACGTGAATATGAATTTAAATACAAATCAATTTCATTTATAAATATTTATATTCATTTCAAAAATTTTCTAATGAATCTATTACTATTTATATTAAATAACTATTTTTAATAAATATACTGTCCGTTAATTTATTTATTAAATTACTTTTACTTTGCTGCAACAAATGATTTATAATATTGAAAACTAATTATTTATATTTGTCAATATAATATATATTCATTTAGGAATTAAAATACGAAATGTTTGTTTCAATTTCATGATAATTATGTATTATACATTAAATGTTTGGGACTCTATCCGCTAAAGATTCTGCATTCCCTTTTTGTTCTATCCGAATTCCATACATACAAAAGCTGGAATGTTATGTCAATATGAATTATTTGTTCTGTTAATGATGTACAGATTGAGTTGTTAATTTGATTGTTATGCTCTTAATTATTATTTGCAGCTGACATTAAGCTGCTGGCACGCAAATACTCGCACTTCGATCCCTTGACACTGAAGGTTCCGCTAAAGGATGTCGTCTGCTATTTATCACTGCTCGAGGCTGGCCGCCCAGAGGACAAACTCGAATGTAAGTGCTGAGAAAGCTATGAGGCATGCCACAACACTTGACCCTTTCACCTGTCTCACTCACTCTCTTTCGCAATCATTCATTATGGCAGTCATGTTCCGGCTGTACGATACGGACAGCAATGGAGTCCTGGACACAGCCGAAATGGATGCCATTGTTAATCAGATGATGGCCGTGGCCGAATATCTTGGCTGGGATGTCAGCGAGTTGCGTCCGGTAAGTGTCACACAATGCCTCCCCCTCTCTCGCTCTCTCTCTCTCTCTCTCTCCCGCTCCCTCTACACCTCACTCACTCTCTTACAATTGAAAGTCATTACACTGCAATCAGAGCCAGAGACAATTTTTGCTCATTACGCACATAAATGCGTAAGCATTCACAGTCCAGAACAATCAAGCAATCACTGCTGCTGGGACTCGAACCGCGGACTAAAACTTTTTCAATTACTTGCAAGCACTTGAAATTAATTCCATTTTTATTGCCCTGCGATTCAAGCTGAAGCTGTGAACTTTTATAGTTTTACACAAGCCCAAGCAAAAAAAAAAAGTACACAATTTATAGTCGCCTTTTATGTACCTGCACCAGTCTCTCAACTCTAGTTTAGCTTGGGTTAGACAAATATAAAGATCAAAGTAAATGCTGAAGCAGGGGAAAATCTAGAAGTAGTCGACTATTAGATACCTGGACTAGATCCTATCCAATTGGTGATTTTGTTGTAGAAGAAAGTATATTCGACTAATGAATACCTAGACCAATCATTTTAATGAAGTTTTGTGTCTTTATATCTAATCTCCTTACATCAGGCTTCGGGAGAAAAATACACATTGAATGGCAAAATAATCACCCAAGCTTAGCGAAACCAAGAAGGATACAAGAAAAACAACAGATAGTCGACTATGAAATACCTTCACTTGAATTCATGAAGGTGTTCGCTCTCAAGTTGTTTAGTGGTAAATTTCGGAAAGTTGTTAAAGCTGATCTACAACACTAATAAGAACAATCTAGAGCACTCGACTATAAAATATCTAAAGGTCCTTCTTTAATCAAGTTTAGCTAGGACACAGGAATAGCTTTAAGTAATCAAACAAATTGTCGATGAACTGGGCAGAGCAGAAAAAAGCGAAATGGGGACAAGGAAGAAATGTTGTTGCTGGCGACCACAAATAAAGTCAAAGCGTCACAAAACTCAATTAACAAAATACCCTCGGGTTATGCTGAAACGAGAGCGCAAAGCTGGTGAGCTGGTCGAGTAACGCCCGGATGAGCGGGGGCAGCTGAACGAATCTAACTGTGTTAAAGCCAAGGCAGGACAACGCCGGGCTGCCGAGTGGGTTTTGGGCTGAGCTTTTGCGCACTTTCCGTTTCCATGTTCATGATGGCTTTATGACACTGAACGCAGAACACAGACTCAGTCAGAAGGCGCCACATACTTTAAATTCTAAGCAGATACACAAAAAATATTTTAATCAAAATTCTTTCCGGGTTGGAAAAGGAGACAACAAAAAACAAGTGAGATTAACTTAATTTTGAGTGAACGACTCGGAGTTACCCTGAAACCTGTTGCCATAGTCGTACATTAAAATCTGTGTGTATCTGACCTGAAAAGCGAGGGACTGAAGGTATCCAAAATTATAAATAAATGTATTCATTGTAAGAAACTGTATGCATAATTTCATATATATAGTAACTAATAAAATAAAGGTGAACATGGCTAGATGAACTCTGTAGTATCTTCTATCACATCAACAATACACCCTTTTTTGGTCACTTTAAATGGGCACGAAAGAGTTTTGCTTGCCACATCAACTGGGGCATAGTTGAAACAGAAATAATCAAAACACTTAATGAATTGCATAATTCTGAAATTCATTTCCGGCATAATAAAACCATGAGAGAAGAGAGAAGCTAAAAAAGGATGCCGCATAAATTCTAGTGTAATGAATTTTCCAAGCATAAACAAGTTGCGGTTCTAGTCCATCAAAGTTTCCTACTTTCGTGGTACAGCAAAGGCAAACAGCAAAAGGCAAAAGGCAAGCAGGACATCGCATTACAAATGGCACCGGATATTGAATATTTCTGCTGTTGATTCCTGGAAATGTTCGCTTTGAAGTGAAGCCACAACAAATCCAACTATAGTATTTTAAGGAAAATGCCAATACGGAATGAAGACATACAGGAAATACACTTAAAATGCCGCATGATAAGTGACTCGTCCAGCAAATCCGATTTGAACTGCCCTAAAGGTAGTTATAGTAGATCCTTGATAGAAAATAAACTACACACAGCCAGAACAGGGCAGTGGAATGTGGTTAGGTACATATAAATTGACTTAGTCGTTTACTTACCACATTCTTTAATTTTTGCCAAGGAAGTTTATAAACACATGTAAGAATCCACAACTTGTAAAATTTCAATGATCAGAACTCTAAATTCTAATAAAAAGCTCACAAACTACAAGGAAGATTGCAGTACTTTTTGTCCAATTTATAGAGGTCAGCAATATAATTTTTTTACCACATACCTCGCCAGGATCTGCAAGGATATGATCAACTTATAGCAATAATTCCTGACATTTTTACCCTTACCTTCTTAGATGAGCTCATAATATTTTAATAAGGATCGATCCGCTTAGTCCATAGAATCTAAACGAGCCATTTCCTGCGAAAATCCGTTCAGATTTGGCCGAGATAGAGCTAAATTTCAAAACAAGGACATTCTTTAAACAGCCATAACTCTGCCATATCCTTAAGGATCCCTGCATGACATAACTTTTTGAGCTCGTGAGCACTTATACTATCGATTTGCATTCAAGGATTTTCAGGATTCCACAAAAAATTTTCCATCAAAAAATGCAAGGGATATGGTCGAAAAACTGGCAAAAAATCAGAAAAGCCACATTATCTCGGCCATTGGAAGGACTATCAAAATGTCCTTTAAACCAAATGAAGTCCTCATGGCACTAATCAGGAAGAAGCAAAAAGAACTGTTAAAGGCCTGCAAACAGCTGAGTTATAAGGACTTTTTTAAACAAAGGAAAAAAGCCAATTACTCAGCCGTATCCTTGCGTATCCTGGCAATCGAAGTGCCAAACCAAGTGGGGTCACCAGGACTACTCCCTGGCCAAAGGACATCGAAATTTGCCTGGTAGTTTCGGAGATATTGGCGATTTTGTGTGTTTTTGGCCAAATCCTTAGCCGCCCAGGCCCGGCCTGAAGCAAAAAATTCCAAGTCCAAGATTCTTAGATGACCCTATATTTTTTTAATGGGAATTTGTAGAGTAGGTCCTGCATATCCTAACGCACCATATCCTTTCGTCCTGCGCAAGGACTCGGACAAGTTAGAGGCGTTTTTACGCAACCATATATGAATATTTTTTCCAGGCATATTTTGTCTATATTCAGTTTGCTGCAGCTTATTTTGAAAGCATACATGCTCTTCTTCTTATATATAATTTACAAAGTTTAAATGCTCTGATCCAGCCTAAGAAATTCCTTGCTGATTGCTACATCTGATCCTAAAAGTATGCAACAAAATTGTAAAACTGCAAATTTCCCCAGCGAAATGTTGCTGCAAAACTATGTAATTTTTTTAGTTTTCATAAATAAATTGAAAATTTGTCAAACGTTGGTTTAATTTTTTATTTAAATTTTATTGGAGCTTATAAATAAACATTGATAAAATATTACATTTTACATAAACAAAAAGGCATCCGCGTCAGCACTAAAAAGCTGCATGCTACGACAAGTGATATGTATACTTTAGCAGACAGAGGATTGTTGCTATGTTACTCAAAGTTATTTTATTGGCCAATTGCTGAGTTTAGATGGTCTTTATGTAGTTATAAGCAAAGGCAATTCGATTGGCGCTTCCTCTTACTAGCAGGCGAGATGCTATTGTCCTTTATGTCTCTGTTGAGTATCCTTATGCAAAATGCAGTTAGTTGATAATCCTCTTATTAGGTGCTCAAGTAGTAAGAAAGAGCAAAATTATGCTTGTCAGGCTTTGCTTATCCAGTCGACTATATGGCACAAACGTCGCCAGTATTTATTATATTTCGTCAAGTCTTTATTATATTTCCTGAAAGAAATCAATATAGAAATAGAGTAAAATTCGTTCTATCGCTTTATCTGTGTGGCAGACAATCGTAATAAGGTTACCTGTATACATTTTGCTCGAATTACGCGCTCCCCAACTCCGTTGCAGTCAAAGGTAAAAGCCGAAAGTCGCAAAGTAAAATTGCCTTTATCTACCTTACTCCACCGCAGAATGTCAATCAGGATGTCATACAGCAACGAAAATTCCACCTCGAGCCCATTTTTACACGATTCTTTTTTTCTCTTTCTTTTTTTGTTACTTTTACAGATACTGCAAGATATGATGGTTGAAATTGACTATGATGCCGATGGCACAGTGTCCTTGGAAGAATGGCAACGTGGCGGCATGACAACCATACCGCTGCTCGTCCTGCTAGGTGAGTATGAGTTGAGTGTGTGTGCGTGAGAGTGTCTGTGCAGTGTGTGTGTGTGAGCATCGGAGCCAAGTAGCTGTGAAGCTTTCAATGCATTTATCGCCTCGCTGCCTCACTGCCTCACTGCCAGCTAGGCTGTCTGCCCTGGCTGTCTCAATAATCAAGTCATTTGCAGCAGGTACACAGAAGTTCTGCAAAAAGAGTAGAGCAAAAATGTGAAAATAGTAAACGTGGCATTTTTTGCTTTCTGCTGCACGTATGCAAAACTGTGCGAGGCCCCTGCCGCCTGCATCTGCAATGCATCCATATATCAAGCTACTCACTTAACACACCAGCCCTAACTCACCCACCCCCATCTCCGCTTTCCAGGTGTCGACAGCACTACGCTCAAAGAGGATGGCATTCATGTGTGGCGCCTGAAGCACTTTAGCAAGCCAGCATATTGCAATCTCTGCCTAAATATGTTGGTCGGCCTTGGCAAAAAGGGACTCTGCTGTGTTCGTAAGTATCAAAGAGAYACCTATTACATACACTATATATAGAATTAAATATACTATATATATGCACTATATATACTATATAGATGCACTATTTATAATATATATATCAACTATCTATACCCAAATGGCTAATGTCTCGTTGAGCTRGCGCAAATTGCTTTTATAATAGATTTACAGTATTAATAGGCGATGATGATTTTAAATTATATAAAGATAATATACATGTATATATCTTATATAAATGTTATATAATCTAGCTTTATGCAAAATATTTTATTTATATACGATTCTAGACTTCTTTCTTCTGATTATAGTATTTTAAATTAAATTTTCAGAGAATAAATAAACTAAGCTTTCATTAAGTTCTTAATTCTCTAATTAATCTCAGCTAATATAAATTTATATATCTAATATCTACCATTTCTCCTGTCTAGTCTGCAAATATACGGTGCATGAACGTTGCGTGCAACATGCCCCTGCCTCATGCATCACAACCTACGTGAAGTCAAAGAAGCCCAAGTGTGGCGGAGATCTGTTGCATCATTGGGTCGAGGGCAATTGCTATGGTCGCTGCTCCAAGTGCCGCAAGCGCATTAAGGCCTATCACGGCATAACGGGACTCACCTGTCGCTGGTGCCACATGATGGTGAGTGTATGATTCTGACCGGGAATGCAAAATAGGACAAGATATTGCAGCAGGCAGTGTTTGTAATAGCAAATCTGTTTAAATAATTAAGAAAATAATTAAATAAGTACATGTTTTTATTATTCCTTGTTATTATTATTCAATTAATTAAATTTTCTGCTATTTTCACTTTATGCTCGTTAACTTTTGAGACTACCCTCGTTATACTTAAAGCGAATTGTAGTTAAATTTACCATTCGATACAGTTTGTAAATTGGGAAAAAAAAATTAAATTCTTGGCATTGCCAATGTGGAGGCAAATGCGTAGGGAGTTGGGGACTGGAGGTTGGGGGCGATAAATGCTGGAGGCATTTTCCCCTTATACTTCAAAGCATTTATTTAACTTAACAAGACAGTTGCCAACTGAGATGAAATGATAAAGTGAGAAGCAGTGAGAAGAAATTCCAATTGTGCACAAGCTGCTGGAATTCGTTCAATATGTAGAATTTCAATTATTTTGATCAACACGGAGCGACGTCTGCTCAGTTGCTTTGGCCGTTGGCTCCTCTATTTGTTTTGATTCCTGCAAAAAACTTGTTAAGCTCCACTGATTTTAACTACACACCGAGACAGAGGAGACAGACGACGCACACTTGTGTCTTGCACTTGGCTGGCTGCTTCTGGTTGCTTCTTTTTTTAGGGTTGGCAAATTGTCACGTCTCAAAGAAATTATGCTGCTGCTGCATGCCACAGCATGCCTGTGGCACAGCCAACCGCTTGCAACAACTTTGCCTGGCGCGTTGCCTGTGACAGACCATGCAGCTTGTCGCAAGATAATACCGACTTCGCTATCTGTAGTCAGCAACTAGAACAGACAACAACAAATACAACAACAGCAACAGCCCCACAAACTCTGCCAAAGCAACGAAAGTTTCTGTAAATGTTTCAGAAGCTGAAACGCTGCTGCAATAGTCAATAGTTGAGGTCTCGAGGCAAGCCCGATAAGCACAGCCACAGCACAAGCCACAAGAAGTTCGACATTGATGCTGCCATAACCCTCTGTGCGATAAGAATATAAGCGTACCTCTTGTACTTATACCCTGGAATGCATTGAAAGTGCATAAACTGGGTAAACTGATTTCTCTTGAAACGTGTGCAACAGGCAGATGTGGCCAAGAGGGAGAAGGAAAAGTAAATAATTAGTATCAGCAGTTGAGTCAACGTAAAGCTCAAAGAAGAATATTATAAGAGCGCTAAAGTAAAAGAGTATTGGAATCACCAACAGACTCCATTCGGCTTGGTAGTCAGTCTCCAAGTATAAAGTATAAAGGACAAGATGTGATAGAAGAGTAAATCATTTTCTAATTTGGTATACAGATTGTCATAAGCTACACATAGCATAGCTATACATAGATATCGAATACACCCTGCATATGCATATATGGATATGTATGTTTATAGAATGAGTCAATTGACCACGCTCTAGGGTAACTCATAGTCACTCGACTCTGTAGAGCACTTTGACTGCCATTACATTTGCATTTAGTCAAGCATTAAAGGTGCTCGATAGTTGCAATACACCGAAGAAAATAAGTACCTGCTCTGATATTCATACATATATATTCACATGGATACATATATATGTATATGGAGCAAAATGGCGGCGTGATTAAATTCCATTTAGGCGTAAATTAACAGCATTTTGCGAAGTGGGCGGCGTTCGGTGCTAACAAAGTTTTTAATCGAATTCATTAAAGCGAAATGAGCGCTTAAGCAAGCGTGCGAAGAGCTCGTCAAATAAATACGTATACGCCCAGTCGGCTAGGCCAGAAGTGAGACATTAATTGAATTTAAGGCGCGCGTTAAAAATTCACTTTTTATGATTCAGATTTTTTTTTCTTTTTGGGTCTACTTTGCATCTTGCCGGCTAATTGGCTAGCAGAATTCATTAAACTTTACTGCCATCTCACCCGCTCCTCTCGCTCTCTCTCTCTCTCTCTCTCTCTTTCTAGTTGCATAATCGCTGCGCCTCGTCTGTGAAAAAGGAATGCACTTTGGGCGAATATGCGGAGCTAATTGTGCCGCCCACAGCCATATGTCCCGCAGTGCTGGATCGTCAGCGCTCCGTTAATCAGGCGCACAAAGTGAGTTGACTCCATTTGTAATCGAATTAAGAACTATGTTCCAACTAATTCCCATCAATTGGCAAAATTCTAACTAATCCACATTCCATTCATACTCTTCTTGCTTACTGTACTTTGTAAATTACTTTGCTGTCACACCTAACTATATACACATATATGCGTATATAATTGTATCGTATGTATATACATCACAATTTCTGCAAAATTAAACCCAATCGTAACTCCACAACCCGTAAAATCTTGAGTAGAAATCAAATATGCATCATCATCAGCAGGCAACGCACTTTCAAATTACGCCGCCGGATGAGTTGAGCTGCCCTCTGCTGGTGTTTGTGAATCCCAAGAGTGGAGGACGTCAGGGCGATCGCATTCTACGCAAATTTCAGTACATGCTCAATCCCAGGCAGGTGTACGATCTGTCCAAAGGTGGGCCCAAGGAAGGTACGTCACATATTCGCAATACTAAACTGAAAAGTGAAAAGTGGTTACAGTACCCGCGTAAGCAAGTATCGACTTAACTGTATATTCCTTGACAGGACTTACGCTCTTTAAGGACTTGCCCAATTTTAAAGTCATTTGCTGTGGCGGCGACGGCACCGTTGGCTGGGTCCTCGAGGCAATGGGTAAGCAGCAACAGCAGCAGCCGTAAAAGCTAGCTAATAGCAGTAAATGATAACGATGTCAACCACACAGATTCCATTGAGCTGGCCACACAGCCTGCCATTGGGGTGATTCCGCTTGGAACGGGAAATGATTTGGCACGCTGCCTGCGCTGGGGCGGCGGCTATGAGGGTGAGAACATACCCAAACTGATGGACAAGATAAAGCGCGCCTCGACCGTTAGCCTGGACCGCTGGAGCATCGAGGTAACCAACACACCGCTCACCGTGGAGGAGCTGCGTCCCAAGGTAAGCGAAACAGAAATCAACAACCAGTTCGATTTAGCGCCTCTCCTGACTGATCTGCGTGATCACTGAAGTAGAAATTAAAGTGAATTGATAGATTTGTGAACTACTTCATATATTCCTTAAATAGAACTAGTAGCTGGACACTTAAACGATAATGATTATTCAATAAACTGAGCTAGTTAATCAAAATCTTTTAGTGTAATGTATCGATAGGTCGAGAATAGCTCGAATCAGAAAAACGAGCTGTTAGAAGTAAAAGCAAACAGTTTGCAAAAGTAAATTAGAAAGAAAAATCCAATTATCTAGCAAAGTTTTTGCAGCTCTGCAGATTGAGTCTGGTCCAGAGTGGGAGGCGAGGGCACGGCAATCGAATCGGAAACCGAAAAAACGATTACACAAACTAATTTTGAATGTTGCCACACATAGTACACATGTCTCTAACTGCCTCTATTCCGCACTCACCCTCTCGATGCTTCGGTCTGTTCGACAGGTAACTTTGCACTCAAACATGCAGAAGGTGATTGAATTGTCGCAGAGCGTTGTGGTCGACAAATCGGTGATCGAACGTTTCGAGGAAATCCAGCGGCAAAACTTCGTCAGCAACAGCGCCAGCAGTGGCAACGACAGCATGTCAACGGGCAAACCGATTATGATGGCAACAACAACCACAACTACAACGAGAACGGAGGAGGAGGAGGAGGAGGAGGAGCAGCAGCTGGAGGTGGTGCGAAGTGGGAATGTTGTTGTAAGTGGCAGCACAACCACGAAGAGCATTTCGATGTCCACGTTCGAAACGAGGCGGGTGCAAAAAAAAACATTGACTGCCACAATGAGCAACAAGAGCAACAGCAGCAGCAACTCAAGTGGCAGTGGCAGCAATTCCGTTGGCAGCAACAGCAATCAGGCCCAACTGCTGGCAGCCAGCAGAACAGATGCAACGGAAAAGCAATCGCTAGAGACACTGCTGCTGCAGCACAAGCAACAGCAAAAGTTGGCAGCGGAAGCTGCAGCAGCGGCAGCAGCAGCAGCGGCAGCAGCAACAACAACCACAGAGCAAGCAGCAACAGCAGCATTTGAGCATAATCAAAGCGATGATCATAATAGTCAACAGCAACGCATTGTTAAGCGGCAAATTACATTGTCATTAGATTTGTCCGACACCAGCAGCAATACCAACGAGCCGCAGAGCAGACAACGTCAAGTGGATAGCACGCCACAAACACCGAAAACACCAACAGCAGCTACAGGAACACCCTCTGCAACGGCAGCGTCTACACCAGCAACACCAAGGACTCCCTCAGCAGTAGCAGCAGCCCACACAGCATCAACACCAACAACACCCTCAGCAGTAACAATAGGAGCTGCAGCAACCACACCCACAGCAACAACAGCACCACCAGCAGCAGCAGCAGCAACTGGCAGCAGCAGCAACATTCCACAAAAGCCCATCAAAGTGCAATCGGACAAGGACTGCACAGTGCCCTACAACATTATCAACAATTATTTTTCCGTTGGCGTGGTAAGTAAACTAAGACTCATCCCCTGTTTCCTGTTTGCTCGACTCGTCTGTTGTTTTTCTGCTTTGTTTGTTTAATTGGTAAATCAGTTAACAATTTGTGCTTCTGCAGTTTGTTTCATATTAAGAGCACAGCAGAGCACGATTGCAATCATATTAGCCAAAAGGACATTAGGGCGCATACCCTAGCTGAGAGTGCGTGACAAGCATGAATGAAGACAGCTTCTGATAGTCTTAAGAAATACATTTTTCACAGTGTCTCTCTCTTTGCCCTTAGCATATATTGAAGTAGACAGTAACATGTTTAAGAGGTCAACTTTCAACTTTAACATATAGGCAACTTATCGAGTATTCAATTGATACTACTTTTTACAACTCAATCAGTATCTAGTATCGAATTTCCTGCATACCCTGCAAAGCCATTTCATTTCTTGCTTTTCGACGTCAACTTTCCAGCAATTGTTGCAGACTTTTGCTATCTACAGTCAAAACTTCGCAGAGAAGCTCACAGTTTCAGTTGAATGGATGTGTATTGCAGGTATTTCAGGGATTGTAGAGACTTTATAACAAACAATGGAATGTCTCCACATAATCTTCTCATAATGCAGCTTAAATTTGGAAAGCAGCTTAAGCACAAAGTCAACTGCAACAATATTCATGGCGAATGCCTTTGTGTTTACTTTGGCTTCAAGTCAATATACGAGTGCGGAGCTCTATTCACACTATTCAATAATTCATAGGGCCATATATTCATTTGCTTAATCATTTATTCAGCATTTGTGATTTTTGTATGGAAGCAAAACGTAGCGCACATTTCCGCCCTTTTTAGCGCACAGAACTCGGAGAATGCACGCGAAATGAAAAGTTGAAAATGCTCAAAAGCTGAAAAAGTGCAATCCCTCGCTTTCTAATGCAAATTTCGCCATAAACTTGAAAGCCGAGCGAGCGAGAGCTGCAAAGAACCTGAAATGAAACTCAAACAAAAGCGTTGGGGAAGTAGATAGCAGAGAATACAGTGAACTCTCGCTTGAGCGAACAGTCAACAACTCTGGCAAAACTATATATGACAAAGGTTGTTGATACGAAAGAAGAAAGTTGAGCTCTGATTTGAGCATGTCTAAGGTCTAGTGTGATGGTGCAGCTGGAAGGTATCTAGCTGGGAGGCATCACTGTATTCATCTTCACAATTCACTAGGGTATGTGCACTCTTGCTCTGTATATATAGGGTATTCAAAAGTAAGAATAACAATGGCTGCAAATTTCCATATTTCACGCTTGCCGCAAATTACCAAAGTGCTGCACAAAGACATGCAACATGCAACATGTAACGTGCAACGTGCAGCAGGCAGCATGCCCCGATTGCAAATGCGGCTAAAGTTGATTGCGCACACACACAACCCACACATTAGAGAGAGAGAGGGAGACAGAGATGGGACAAACACAGTTGCAAATAGCTGGCATTCAATCAACAACCGTCGGCGGCTCATTTGCATCATAAATGCATCGATAGAGCTCAAACAGCGCAATCATTAGCGCGCGCGAACATCAGGGCTCAAAGGACAGCGGAATGCAAATAGACTTCAATCAATAGGCCACATAATTGGGCATGGGTTGATAAGGTTAAATGTCGAGCTCAAAATGCCAAACGGTGAACTATGAGCTGCATGCAAAGGGATTTGGGATCAGAGCCAATTGTATTCTAGGAATGCAGCAATCAGACTAAGCCAAACACCGAAGTCTGATTGAGGACATGGGAGTCGATTGATATGCGTCTATTGCTGACAAATTGTTAATAGATTCCATCATTTGATCAACTTCAACACTAATCACAGAAGTCAAACTAAACATGACAGCCTAGCCTAGTATTGACTTCTCCAGAATCGGCTGAGTTTAATCTGACAGGCAATTACAACTTCAACTTCCTCTGAGGCTAGGAAGTATAATTTTAACATTGATTGCTAGCAACCCACAGTAGAACTCGAATGTACTAGACTTCCCAACCAGCATCGCTTGTCCCGTCAACACTTCAGTCTAATCGCCCAATGTCCATGTCTAAATGTCCCCAAATTGTAATGGACGACGACAATTAAGGGGCTAACGGGATATGCGAACTATGCACTATTTAAATTAATGAGCAGCAGACTTGGCTTGCTCGCTAATTACTATTTGCCGACAAGTGAGTGGCTTAAACGAGTCCTGGGCAACACGGACACACATTGAGCCCCAGGGACGACTTGACGGAAAAGAACCCAATCGGGCAATAAATTCGAGCATGTGAATCAGATGGCCTAAGTTTTACTTTTCTTCTGGCTAAAGCATCCTTTGAATAATTTAACACAAGATGCGGAAAGTCCTGGGTCGAAAGTGGAAATCAAAACGAAAGAGGAAAAACGCACAAAACTAAGTAGCTGGCGAAGATTTAATGCGGCCATAAAGAAAGGCTAAGTGGCAAATTTACAGGCAGGCAGGCAGGTCATACAGATACAGATACAGACGCAGATGCGAACGTCAGCGCACGCAAGTCACGACAAACGAAAGCCGAAAAAGCCATGGCCCACAAGCAGTGGCAGCAACTAAAACGGATATGTTGTACAAATCAGCAAGGCGCAAACTTGACTCGTGTCCTGCGTCTAATCAGAATGAAAACACGCCCACATGGGACCAACGCATGTGTGTTTACTGTTTATACCAATTGTAAATGGCCAAGTTAATAGGGTCGATTCGTTGGCTAGAGGCAGTAAGTCGCTTGCCGTTATACAGTAAAAGAGTAAAAGTATAAGACTGATATAAGACTGAACAACTGACTTTTCCCTCACGTTTAGACAATGTATATCAGCAGAGAGCATTAAAGTATACGACAATATATACGTATAGCATAAAGTATAAGACAATATAAACGTATTGCATAAAGTATAAGACAATATATATATAACATCAATAACCTGATTGACCTGACTGTGGCTGCCTATCTCTACATCTGCATAAGAAACACAGCATAATAATTCACCAATATATGTCAGTATATCAGTATGAGTATGGGAGCTTAAGAGTACAGCAGTACAAGAGTATTAACACTGGATGTTATAATTATATGAGTATAAGAGTATAGCAGTATAGTAATAGAGTATAAGCTTGAAGTATGGCATCCTCAGCCGAGTCAATCTAGCAGTAGAGGACTACAACAGTATGAGTGTATAGTAGATTCCTCAAATATCAAATACTCCATTTTATGGATACTCTACACGTACTGCCCCCCCACAGCCAGAAATAAACGCATACAAACTTGAGCTCTCTGTGAGTGTTTCTGCCACAACAGCTCAACACAGAAGTCAGGGATTCAGCTGGTCAGGCACTCCCGGATAGAGCACTTTTATTTCCCATATTTACGCTCGTATATCTCTGTATTGAGAATAGAGATGTGTGCGTGCCTGTGTATTTTGTAATGCTGCACCATTTGTCAAGTGCGGCTAAAGTTGAAATCCTTTTTGTGCAAACATTTTGCACTCTACTCCACCCCTCGCCTCTCACCCCTCACTATAGACCACGACGTCGCCGTCGTCGTCGTTGTCGTTCCCCCAAACGTAACTAAATATCAGCCTAATACGCAGTGAGCCCTACACAGACACACACAGCTCACAGACAGACAATTGCCAGCCATGCGATTAAGATCCACAACAAATCCCGACCGAAACAAAATATATAAAAAAATACTACAAAAAGATGCCATCAAATTTCTGTCTCTGTTTCTTATTACATGTGTGGCTGTGTGTGTCTCTATGAGAGTGTGTGTGTGTGCTCTAGTTTATTTATGACCTGATGTGCGTCTGTTTAAACTGTAGGCGTCTACAGCAAACTGTCGACGATTTTGCTGTTACAAATACCCCTTAAAAGTAAACACATATTAAAAGGATATGCCTACAACAGAAAACTACTCTAACAAGCACAGGAACTATAATAGATGGAAATATAAACGTAAAATATATGAATATAAAGAAAAAGAAACATGGGAATAGGAGGAGAAGGAAGAAGAATGAACAAGAACTTGAATCCACCTGTAACTAACTATAGTCATAGTTTTAAGATGAATTATCCTTTTCGAAAATATGAAGGCAACCAATATACTCTCACCTTTCCAATGAGCAAGCATCAATGAGCTTTATAAATTGCCTGGCAAACAACCTGAAGCGCTTCGCTTATGTCTTAGGTTTGGTTGCCTAGCTTATAGGAAATTCTAATGAAATACTTACAGGGTATTCTGTGGTCCATGCCTGTCCTTTGTTGTTGTTTTTGTGGCTTATTGTTTGTTGTTTTGTTGCTTCGTTGTTGTTGTCATTGTCCGTGTTGTTGCCGCTGGGATTTCACTTGTCGGCTTCATTTCGCACAGCCTCCGCCTCTGTTTGCCTCTGGCTCTCCACTCGTGTGTGTGTGTGTGGGAGAGAGCATCTTGAGGACTCCCCAGCAACTTGTCATATGTGTGTGTGCGTGTGTGTGTGTGTGGGTATGATATGCTAGTTCAAGTGGCAGCAGCAACAACGGCAGCAGCAGCAGCTTAAAGGTTGAGTGTGTGTGTGTGTGTGTGCGTCTGCAGAGTATGAGTAATGCGGCATGGCAAAGTATTTCACACTGACGCTTTGGTTTAACGTCAACAATTGACGTTAAGCGCGAACTTTCTGCATTACACGATGATGAAGAGCAAGAGGTTCTGGGCAAGGGGTAAGCACACACACACACACACATGTGCATATACATGCATACATACAATATATGTAATTGCTCTTTTGCAGTACCGAGAACAGATCCCTGGGACTTGGCACGTTTCATATACATATATTGCGTTTGAGGCTCACAGGTTTTATGACTTCTCCAGATCCAGCTCATCCCATACTTTGCGGCTTTATGACCTTTAGTGTCAGTTTGTCAATTTGTTTAACAAAATTTTATGGGCCACATTTTATGCGCGTCCAGTCGAAACCGTTGCCCAAGGCTTTAAGCGGTCCTCGGCACATAAGTTATGAATTTAGTTGAGCTGGCACTCGCAGCTGCTGGGGCTAATTAAAAAGTTTTCCACCTGCGCTGCACAAACTCGCTTCCACACACTCGCCCACTCTTTAGCCTGATAATTCAATTTTTGGCTTTGGATCCGTGTAATTAATCTTATTTTGCTTTGTGAGAGCAACAGCCACAAAACGTAAATGCCAAAGCGGCTTCCCTTATTCCAGCAAGGCAGGCGTAGGTGGGTGTGTGTGTATGTGTATGTGGGGGTTGCTTGTGAGTGCTCGTGCTGTGTGTTGTGTGGGCGCTGTGACGTGCATAATAAATGCGCCTACAAAATGTGCAACGTGTCGTATGCGCAATCAAAGCCCTGGGCCACAAGCACTTGCTCCGGCTGCGGCTTTAGCCTCCTCCTGGGTTTTGCTGTCACATTCGCTCCTATCGCTCGTTCTTTTGCTCCAGCATCTGCACTCTCCTTCTTCAACTCTTGCTGCTCGTCCTCCCCACTACCTGTTGCTACTCCTCGTCCTGTTCCCACTCCGTCTGCCGTTCAGCCTCAATTTTTGCATATTTGGCCAGCACACCGACTGCTGCTGTGTCAAGTGCTGCGTCGCTAGCCGAATATGCAAAAATTAAAATTCTGCCAGCTCGCTTACATGCACTGCATGCATTGCGTGCACTGCCTGAATGTGTTTCACATAATCGAGCTGTGGCCTACGCTGCGTATGCGTTATGCATGCCCATGACTATCAGGAGGCGAGGCAATCGAACTGGCAGGCCACTGCAGCTGGCAATAAGTTTTGAAGCACGTCCCACATGTTTGTATCTCTGCATTTATTTGTGCATATCACCTGCACTAGAGGTGCGAATGCAATTTCTGATTTGCTTTCTATGCTGACTTCTCGCCCTCTATTGCAGGACGCCGCAATTTGTGTGAAATTCCATTTGGAGCGCGAGAAAAATCCGCATAAATTCAATAGCCGCATGAAGAACAAACTTTGGTATTTCGAATATGCAACATCCGAGACTTTCGCTGCCTCCTGCAAAAATTTGCATGAACATATTGAAATTGTGGTAAGAAAATAAAATATTTAAAAAAAAAAAATTGAAATATTAAAATGATATAACAGTATTTAAAAAAAATAGTTAAATCATAAATTTACCTATTTATCTCCAATCAATAGTGCGATGGCGTTGCCTTAGACTTGGCCAATGGTCCGCATTTACAGGGTGTAGCATTGCTGAATATACCCTATACGCATGGCGGCTCCAATTTGTGGGGAGAGCATCTATCACAGAAACGCATACGCAAGAGTGCCGGACCCTTTGGCAAGAGTAAAAAGCTAAAGTCCAGCGACAAGGAATTCTCCGCGACGAGCTTCAATTCCGTGGATCTATCTGTGGCTATACAAGGTACGTGTGTGCTTTACGATCATGGTTGACTGTATCATTAATGGAACTTCAACGGCAGATTTCGGTGATCGCTTGATAGAGGTAATTGGCTTGGAGAATTGTCTGCATATGGGCCAGGTGCGCACAGGTTTGCGCGCATCGGGTCGTCGCTTGGCCCAGTGCAGCGAGGTGATTATCAAGACCAAAAAAACATTTCCCATGCAAATCGATGGCGAACCCTGGATGCAAATGCCTTGCACGGTAAGTGAAGCAAAGAAAGAGTTAACTGAAATGGAGTTTATTTACATATATATCCCCTTGCAGATAAAGGTAACTCACAAGAACCAGGTACCGATGCTAATGGCGCCGCGCTCCGAGAAAGGCCGCGGATTCTTTAATATGTTGTGCAGCTGATTCAGGCGCAGCGCATCGAGCGACTTCATTGGCCAACGCAGGCAGTTGGCGTCGGAGTCGGCCGATGAGCTAGAAGATAATGATTTTCGCATTGTTACCAGAAGCATCACCGTCCATAATTTACCTTAGCCTTAAAAGCCCCATAGATATTATATATATATTGCCCATAGACGAAGATCTAAACAAATTTTTAGCAAAATTCTCGAATCGTTTCGTATCGAGTGAGTTGGTAGAGCTTTACACACATACATTTTTTAATAGCATAATTTAATATTGTAAATGAGAAGTTCTACAAAAGTCGCATGCATTCCAGATAGAACAGTTATATACATATAAATCTTTAGTTAAATTTACACGTAAGAAATCTCAGTGTTAACCACGTGAAAGCTTTAGATGTACTATATATATAGATTGGTACACGTATTTATTAGGCACTGTAAGCAACACATACACTTACACACACACATACACACACGTAAAACTTGTCCAATAATGCAACTTAAATGAGACCAAAAACAAACAAACAAAAAAAAAGAACGTAGTGCGAATTTTCAAAATCGAATGCACAAAGTCTAAACACGAAAAAATATATATAAATATTATAAATTATATATACACATTTACATAGATACATATTTACAGTTAAATCCGTCGAAATTAGTTTTAATGAAATATTGTGAACTTTGCAGTCGGGTACAATCGACTGCCCAATACTCGTTTATGTTAAATTTTCCTTTTTACCACTTCAGCAATTGGCTTAACCTATATAATTGCCCAGCTTAGCTGATAAAGTCACTCCATTAGGGATTTTAGCTAATATTGTCAGAACATCAATGATGGGATGAAACTACAGATTTGAGTACATATAGCTGAACTTTAAGGCTGTATTCCAAGTCTATTCATAAAATTGTATAAACGAACCAAACTACATTACTTGACTACGTGAACGAGTATTAAAATAATGCTGTGTGTATCCTTTATAATCCTAGACACCAAAAATTTGTTATTCGTTAATTTTCAAGTTTCAAAAATATCTAAAAATAAACAAAAAAATAAAAGTAAAAAACATATCATTGGCTAAATTTTAATTAAAAATTTTCAATTGAGAAAATGAGTGTAAAATTGTATGAATTATTATTCCTTTTGAAAACAGCAGTGCACAGAATCATACATATGCATATATGTTATTTATTTATTATGTATTTTGTATATATAAATAAACGAAAAAAATGTAAATTGATATATTAAAAAGAAAATATCAATGAAATGGTGAAGCTTTAAATGAATTTTGATATGAAAAACAAAAGAAAAGATATAATTGATATAGTACTATGCGTATACATGCATCCATTATTATATATATACATATAGATATATGCTACATAAATACTCGAAACATATATATGTAAAGAAGTAAAACTGAACGAATCTAAGAATCGAATCAATATCTGAAGCGAAACTTGGAAAATAGCTTTAGATTCTCATTATGTTATGTAAATATGTTTATCCATATAATACAATTACAATTGGAACAATATATATAATCACAGATAGGTGTGAGTGAGTTCCTAAACATTTATTGTGCTTACATATATTAAAATTTGGTATAGGTTAATTGGTTTAATTGATATATTAAACAAAACATCATTCCTATACATTTAAATATATATATCTACATAAATATATATCTAGAATACCTAAGAAATATCATAGATAGTGCTAATCACATGTATGCATATATATTCTAACACACATAGTACCTACTTGAACTAACTATACAAGAGCATTAGCAATACTCAGTTGGTGAATATCATCAAGGAGAAAGTGTGAACTGTTCAAAAATATATTTATTTATTTTATACCAAAATATATAATTTATTCCTTGTTTTCTTTTGATTTTCCAGTTTTATTATAAATGCTTGTAAGGGTAGTTTGAAACATTTGCTTACTTAAATATTTAAAAACAACCAAAATATTTTTGTCGAGATTTAAATTAAATTGATTGTAAAATTTGTACACTAATGAGGGCAGTTGAATAGTTTTTTTCGTTTTAGCAAAAAAAAACGAAAGAATTGTTTTAAATATATCGTTTTTTCTCAAGTGACTCATGGAAGGGTAATTACTTCTTGCATAACAGATGCTATTCAACCATTATATATAACCTTTATGTTAGACTAGAGACTCATTTACATAAAACTCTTTGCTGTCGGCTGTAATCGACTGCATAATGCTCGTTCAACTCACAAAAACAGTAAAAGTTAGGAGGAGCAAAAACAAGAAAGTTAATATTAATATTTTCCGATGGGTCATGCTCTCTATGAAAAGATAGACGGTGGGCGGTCTTACAGCCAATAGCCCCATTTTCGTTTTGTGAACGAGCAAAGGGAATACTTTTAGTAGTAGAAATTGATTAAATGATCAACTAATACTGTTTCAAGACCACACGAAATATACATAGTAATTATAAATATATAAATCCATATATATATATCAAATTTTGGTTTCGTCTATAATGCAAGCAACTATATATTTATATATATAGATATACATAACAATCCATTTAATTTTTTTTTGCAAACAAAACATTTTTCGAATGCGAATCCTAAAGCCCACAAAGCTTTCAAACGGGATGCAAATGCCACACAGTAGCCAGTTAACATTAATTATAAATGAAGAGAAGTATAAACAAATTACTATTAGAAGAAGCAAAAGCTAAAAAATATATACATACTCTATATATGGATAGGCTAAATAACTATGTACTATAGAACAGCAGACTTAAAATGTATTTATTTACAGCAACAACTAGAAAACGACACGAAATATAAATATAAATCAGACATAGTTGTATATATACATACGAATATTAAATCTGAACAAATCAGTTATAGCCAAAAATACAACTTAATTTAAAAATATTAAAAATGAAATAAAATCAACTATTGCATATAAAAAAGAAACTACAAATTATGTCAAGCATATAATATCTGTTCCAATTTGTATAGATATATTAATTAATATACGTATATATCATCTTGTCTATAGTTTGTATAGTATCTAATTCATATATGTGCCATTATGCAGCTTCAAGTGCTAAAAACTCGCTTTTTATGATTTATACACTTTTGATTTGACTTGTCAAGATAGTGCCAAGGCTTTCGAAAATATACATAAATAAATATAGTAGAGTATTTAGCATATAACTAAAGAGCATAACCATCTTTGTAAGCCAATGCCTATAATCAGTGTTTAAAACAAACCACATATAATAAATACAATCTATGTATATAGATGTTATTAAACAGTCCATTTTGTTTTATTTCCTTAATTATACTTGGGTTCTTTGGTAAAGCCAATTTGACATATAAATAACGTATCAATTCGATTAGATCTATGTATATCTAGATGAGTGCTGTTTGTGCATTTCAGCAGTATACTTTTACTATATATCTAGTCTTAAGTTTAACATTACAATTCTTTTATATATGGGCTTCATATCAACAATAAGCCATTTATAATTTAAATTCTTTAATTATCTTCCTTAATCAAGCCATACCTATTGGATAACTCTAGCTTAACATAAGGTCCATAGACACTTATAAAGGTGAGTATGCGATTTTTACTCTGTTTGCCAAACTGGGCCAAAATCTCGCCAGTGCGGCATGGATGCAACGCCATAAAGGGACGAAACAACACCGGATGCTCCATTGGCGTTAGCATTTGATAAAGATCGCTACGAGGCGCATCTGGCATAAATAGATTCCAAGTGGCCTCTATATCCAAGAGGCCACCATCTGGTCAAAACATTGCTTAATAACAATTGATACATAATTGCAGGAGAGATTCAATTTACCTGATCGATGAGCTTGCAGATAGAGCATGGGCACTTGATAGGAGATGCTGTACACAATATGGTACTCCACATTTATCAGTTCATTCGCACATTTGACTTTTTGAGTGTATTTCAGAAAAGAATTGGGCTCTTGATTGTCCTATTAGATATAGAATAGACTATATAGAATCGATTGTATCAGATGCATATATACTCACCTTTTCAATAAGCTGCCAGCTGTCATTTAAATCTAAAGACATAGCCAGAAATTCTTTGGCCTGACTAAGAAACTCCAACCAAGTCATAGAATCACTCATCTAAAAAGAATGTAATTAAGATTTAACATAATATATGTATGTATGTATGTAGCAATTGTTAGTGAACTAAATATAAACACAATTGTTATTTTCGTTACATTATAAGCGCGTTGCCTCATATACATATATATTATACATAATCGAAACAGTTTACATTTTTAAAGCTCCTCAACTTGAATACTTAAGCTAAAACACACACAAAGATAATTAACTTTTTGTTTTACTACACAAGCGAAACAGTTTTCAAAACCTTTGCAAATATTATATTTTGTAATATTTATCTTAAATACACGGCCCCATCAGGAATTGTGCGAATCTCCACCGTCCAAAGCAGCGACTTGAATATTCTCATTGCGCCGCACTTGAACCACAGTCACAATTCCAGCTTTATCATCAAATTTGCAAGTGACAGTAACTTCGCTTAGTTGAAACGTAAATATTTGTGAGCCGTATTTTGTGCGCAGATATACGGAACGAGGATCCGCTTCCAAGATGTCCACAATGCATTGCTTTTGCACTTGCAGCTCCAGCAGTTGGGCCTCGGCGTGCTCATTGAAGCAAACGGTCAGACGATGGTTGGCCACAACCCAATTGGGTACACGCACAGCACTCGGCAATGGCGGTTGACCGCTCAAGACATCGGGATTTATATTATTGGCCGTATAGCCACTCGCTCCGTACAGTTCCAAATCGGATTCCTCGCCATCTGGTTCTTGACGGGACCCATAAAAGTCGGCATTGTTTTCATTGGGCATTGCAGCAGTTCGACCTTATGGTGAATACAACGGAAAATCAATAGAAGCTACAAATCTCTAGATTATGTTGCCCAACACACCTGAGTCTACACTTAGCACAGGTGCATCATAGTAGGGTATATATGGCTTAATATCCAGCACAGGAGTGCCATCCACCATGTCAGTTCCAAAGAAGCTTATTCTATCACCCTCAATCCTCTCGATCTCCACCAGCGACAATCCAATGGGACAAGGCCGATGCGGCGAACGTGTGGAGAAGACGCCAACGCGCTCTCCGCCTAAGCGAGGGGGTGCCACTTTTGCCTTGGGATGTGAATTGTTTCGATGAAAATGGTAGATAATCCACATATGAGAGAAATCGGCTAAGCCCTCAAGTGAATGCTCCGGATTGGTAAAAGTGCCATCACTAAGATGTATGAAGCTACGTAGGCGATTGCCCACGCTCGACTGCCGGGGCACAGCGCGTTTCTCTGGGAAGTCGGTGCGTATTATGCCAATGGACTTGAAGTGGACGACGTCTTCGTTATCATTGCTGCTGTTCTGCTGTTTGGCATTGGCATTAATATCATTGCATTAGCGGCCCCACTCACCTGCAACGTACCTGCAGGTTGTCCTTGGCCTTGGCGCAGCCTTCGCAGCGAAAATCCTGCAGCAGCCGGTTTATTGTCTCAATGTCCTTGCGCTGCACATGCTGTAAATTGCGCACCTGCTGTCTGCATAACAAGGTACATAAATAACATTGAACTTGAACTTCCACAAGATGATGGAAATTTTTTTTATTGTACCTCAAGTTGTTTATCTCGTTGCGCGCAATGGTCAATTGATTTTTCAAGTCATCCTCGTGCATGTTCGTAATGCGTAACAGCCGGAACGTGTAAACATATACTTAATTTAACACTTTTAATATACACTTAACATTATTTTATTCTTTATTTTATATTGTGGTATATTTACCTTATTCCACTTCGCTTGCCATTCGCAGACGCATTACATTTCGATAGTCAGCCGATTATTGACATTCGCACAAAATGAGAACGTGTTATCGCGCAATAATTCGATATGTTAGCCATCCCTAGTCAACAATGACTTTATAAATTTTTGCCGTGAGCAAAACGAAACCCAAGCACACTAAAAAACTTGTTGGTTTGAAATTTAAATAAAGTAAAGGTATGTACGAAAGGCGAAACGCCATAATACAATTTCTGTTAATTATGCCAAACAACTTTCTGGTTTAGGCAAATTAAAAATATACGAAAATGTCTCGAGGAAGTTCAGCCGGTTTCGACAGACACATTACAATCTTTTCGCCAGAGGGACGCCTCTATCAAGTGGGTAAGTATTTAAGACGTTATACAAAGGTGTAAAATAATTAACCATTTGCTGGCTCTAGAATATGCATTTAAGGCCATTACCCAGGAGAACATCACTTCGGTAGCTTTAAAGAGCGGCGACTGTGCCGTTGTGGCCACCCAGAAGAAGGTGACGGAGAAGAATATTGTGCCAGAGACTGTGACCCATTTGTTTGGCATTACCAAGGAAATTGGCTGCGTTATGACTGGACGCATTGGTAAACACAAGCCACACATCAACATCAACACCTTATTTAATTTGCATATTCCATACTAAATATTTCCAGCCGACTCCCGGTCTCAGGTGCAAAAGGCACGCTATGAAGCAGCCAATTTCCGCTACAAGTACGGCTACGAGATGCCCGTAGATGTGCTCTGCCGTCGCATTGCGGACATCAATCAGGTGTACACCCAGAATGCTGAGATGCGCCCGTTGGGCTGTAGCATGGTCCTAATCTCCTACGATGATGAGTTGGGCCCATGCGTTTACAAGACGGATCCGGCTGGCTATTATTGCGGTTTCCGTGCCTGTTCAGTAGGCGCGAAAATGATTGAGGCCAATAGCTATCTGGAAAAGAAGTACAAAAACAATCTATCCGAGGAGAAGACCATACAATTGGCCATCACTTGTCTGTCCAGTGTCCTGGCGGTTGACTTTAAGCCAAATGGCATTGAGATCGGCGTTGTGAGCAAGTCAAATCCGCAGTTTCGTATACTCGATGAGAAGGAGATCGAGGATCATCTAACCAAAATTGCTGAAAAGGATTAGGCGCCTAGCGTGTGACCCCCATGTAGATGTTAAATCACCTTTTTTATAAACATTAAAAATGGAGTTGCGGAAAGATTGGAAAAAAAAAACAATTAAATTATTTTCATTTGACTTATTCATTTAGCAGCTTAACAATCAGGTATGTTGTAGATATACTATACAACAGTTGAATAGCATATAGCTAAGCATAGCAACCTTCTTTTAGAGATATGAAAGATTCTCGGTTTCCTTAACTCTCTTTTTTCTTGTGCACCTTTCCGCCGTAGCGCATCACATAGGCATTGACATCAAACTTTCGCTTGCAGCCTTGATAGTTCATATAGCGAATCTTACCAAATATCGCGCGCTCCTTCCAACCTTGGTCGTGAATCCCACCGATGGACCACATGCAACCAACGTAGCCATTCGGATCACGTCCATCCAGACTGTACTTGTCGTTCAATAATATGCTATACTCAAGCGCCTGTTCCGGCGTTTCGGTCCACTCTAAAATCTTTTTGGCCCAATACATGCGCAGAAACCCGTGCATTTTGCCTTCCTTGACCAGCTGCAGCTGGGCCGAGTTCCACAGATCGTCGTAGGTGCGCGAGTGCTCCAGTTCTTCCAGGTTATAGCAAGGGCTTCGCTTATCCTTGCGATGCGCTTGAAGAGATTCGTATGCCCAGCTATATAGACCCTTTAGACTATCGTAATGCTCGTTGTAGTAGCAGAAGTTGTCAGCCAATTCCCGACGCACGATCGCCTCCTCGAAGTAAGCTTCGACCGATTCTTTATAAATGGTCTTATAACGGCCCACTTCCAGGACACAACGCTGCGCGGATATTTGTCCAAAGTGCAGCCAGGGCGAGAGACCAGACAGAGCATCCGCCATGGGATCATTGCGCTTGTCATTGAAGTGTCGCAGGCGGCGAGTGCAAAAGTCGTAGAGCTGCCTGCAGGCAGCTGTGTAGCCCGGCTTGGCCCACTCCACAGCATCCACAGACTTGTCGCAGCTGAGCGTCTGGTATGCTGCAGTCCAGTCCACACTTCGACTGCCCTTGACATTGCCATACGCATGTTTTATCAGCGGTGGAAACTCGGTTAGATATTCACTCAATTTAGAATTTATCTTGTTGCGAATTGTGCGCGCTGCATACTCTTGCTTATCGGAGGTCACCCAGAGGGGCACCACATTGTGGGCATCAACTTGCGTAAGCGGCACATGGGCTGGCAGGGCTTTGACCACGTCTTCGACCCACTGGCGCGGCAGCCTTAGCGGCGCAAAGTCACAAATTACAGCGCCTATTTGCTCGTCCTTAACAAACTGGGGCAACCGCTCTACGGCTGGCCCGATCAATAGATGGAATGAGACGTTCAGCTCCCGGCATTGCTGTTCCACCTCCTTCAAGCCGCCCAGCATGAACTTGTAGTGCCTTAAGGTAGCATTCAGGAATTTCGGCACTAGGCAAAAGACTACCGTCAAAGGCAGCTCCAGTTTCAATGCCAGCCGCTGGGCGAATAGCAGCGCCCAATTGTCTTGAACGCGAGCATCTCGCGACATCCAGTAGACAACGCCTCCATTGCAATTCTCCCTGACATCGCTAGCCGAACTCAAGACACGAACTCGTTTCTTTCTGAAGGCAAATTCATGTACATTTGCAGCAGCTTTGAGACGTTGATCCTGCACGTGACTGAGAAATTGCTCAAAACTGTTGTAGCTTGGCTTTGTCTTTTTTTCTGGCGTAATTGTAACTGTTTCTTCACCGCTTCCGCTCCCGCTTTCGCTTTCATTGCTGCTGCCATTACTTTCGGCCTTTTTCGGTTTCTTTTTGGCAGCGCGCACTGCGTTGCTTTTATTTCGCTTCATGTGTAATCTAAATATAAAATTTATATAAATAAATACAAATATTGTTTTTTTTATTATTAATACTTACAATTGAAATAGAACGCGACAACCGCCAAGCAATGCAAATTTAGTACTCACAGATCCTCCAATATGCATTGCGCATTTTGGTTAAATGTTTTTCTTCTCTGTATATCAGCTGGTCACACTTTTTCAGGTAAAACAAATAGCCGTTAGAGGATTTCGACGTCAACTGCACGCATGCAATGACGAAATATAATAAACTTTTAGAAATAAATGAATATACTCCCATTTGCAAGAGAGCAAGAAATCCGAAAATGCTGCAAGTATGTAAATCTATCAAATCCTAAAAATTGCATTGTTAAAATGTTTTTGCCCTTGCTATGCGCGGTCACACTTCTCGTTGTTTACCGGTTGGCGAAAAACAGCAGCTGCTTAACATAGTCTAGGAATTCTATCTTAACAGTAGTCTCGGCAGCTGCTAGTAAATACAATTTTTTTGTTTTTTTTTTTTTTAATTATTTATATATTTTCTCAACGGCATACAGGTTTGGTTTTTTTTTTTAAATAACTCTCTTTGATATACAGATATATTCTTTCTCATACATATACATTGTACCGTTTAGCAAGTATTACAGTTTAGCCTACGCCGGAAATCGTCTTTGGAAATACGCTTACATCCGATTTGTTACTTTAATTCTTATTTTCTTTTTTGTTTGTTCATAAATGATTAAACGTGTGTGTGTATATATACAGCTAAGAAGTTTTGTAGTGTGGCTAATAATAATAAAATATATCTATAGAAAATATTTGAGTTTACTTTAAAATTTGCAAATATATA